TTATTTTTTGTCTCTTTTCACTGAATAAACAATTTTTATTACTTTTTTTCAGAGAACGAGGTTTAAATCTTCATTTAAAAAAAAGAAGCTTTAAACTAAACTTTTAACCTTAGAATTCAATTTTGGGGTAAAACCTCATACTTTTTATTTTTTTCGATGGCTCACGTGATCTCAAATATATTGAAGTCGCCTATGGTTACACTATATTTTAGCGTGTTTTCTGTGGACTGGTAAAGTTGTCCCACAAAGGGTAGCAAACAAGAAACAAATCAAAAAATAATTCATAGAGTAATGTGGCATGTTTTCTGCTTATGGTGACAGAGTTTGGGAACTGAGGGATAATTTCAGTGTTTTTGGGTGAGTATACTTGATAACTCGGTTATTAGAGCTAACTAGTAATGCAGGTCTTGGTTCAATTTCATGTCCAGTCGTAAATTGTGGTCTTTCCTGTTACATTGGTGCTGTTGACCATATTTGTACATGCAAGTGAAAGTCCTGCAAGAAACCAAAGAATCTGGGTTGTGTGTCTTCAAGGGGGAAGACAGGAGGGAGGAATGTAGTAGGTTGGGAAATATGGACTGTGAATATTGGCCAGGGTAGCTCAGTGGTTAGAGCACATGTCCAGGGGTGTCACGATCAGTTCCTGGTCCAGCCATAATTTTCTCCTTTCCTGTTACATAATATTTGCCACCTAAGCATTGTTAACAGCAAAAATAATAAAAGTCCAACACAAGAGTTATTAATCATGTTAATACATGTATAAGGTAATACCTGCGACACTTGCTAGAAACTGCATAGCTTATGTTTTAATGGAAAGTCTACTTAATTACTAGATAATGAGAGGTAAATCAACTAAAACAATTGTGGGAACTATTCTCCATTAGTAGATGTGTGACTAAAGCTCATGATTATTTTTTCTGAGACTTCAAACAATAAAATTTTCTTTTCCATTCATTCACTTGCAATGCTAGGAATCTGGAATTAATTTGTTGTCAATTTTTAAAATTTTTATAATATTACATGGTAGAAGTTGCATTCTTCAAAACATAGATAGTGCAAGAGTAAGCCATGAGTAAAATACCTCTTCATGTAAAAATACATTACGAGGGTTGTCCCAAAATTCGGTAGACAAGCGTTGTTTTGTTGGAACCCGATGTCATATATTAATGAAACTTTGTACATAGATTAAACCAACACTAACTAATAAATTTATGGACAAATATGGAGTAACTACAAAAATTAACCCTAGTATTTAAATTATACAGTTCATTGTCTCGTGTAGGAAGGTGGCGCAGTACCCAAAAATTGCAATTAAAAAATCAGTATATTATATTTAAAATCCTATGGAAAAGTAATTATTACTCAGCATTTTGGGAATGGAAATGAAAATTCTTAATATTGTATTATTAACTATATTTCCTCAAATTTTGGTGTTTATGCTTAAACAAACATGAATTTTATTACGTTTTATATATATACACGGAGTTGAAATCCGACTTTTTGAAAAATGGCAGCTGCATTGGCACAGGCAGTGCACTGGACTGTGATCAAGTGTTTTGATCCTGCATTCACTCCTACAGAAATGTACAAGTCATAAATGTTTGGTAGACAAGGGAATGTTTTCTGGTCCTTAGTATTTAAAATGACTGAAATGGTTTCTCTATGTATGACTAAAAAAAAAGACACTCCTAAGAATTGTGCAAAAGTGACACTGTGCAACTCTATTAGAGAAGAGAGACGAAAAGTCCTTAGAAATATAGGGTTTTCAAAATATTATTATTTCATACCTGTACATGCATATACTTTGTTTACATATTTTAATGTTTAATCATATCATAATAATTAAGATATTTCACTTTTATATCTATAATTATTTTGATTAATTAAAGAATTTAATTCTGGTAATTGGAATATTTTCTCCAAAAATTTGAACTGTTGACATTTGACATCTGACGTTGCAGATTGCTCCGGGCGTTAGAGAACGATATCACTTCAAATATTATTGCTCGAATTGTTTTCAAGCAAACATGATAAAACTTCGTAATTTATCTGCCAAGAACACGCTTTATCTACTCAGAAAATTTTATAAAGATACATTAATTTCTTTAAAAGATATGAGCTCAGTCTACGGAATTTTGGGACAACCCTCATACATGTAATATTATAAGATGCTTTAATCAAGAGATCCACATTCTCATACAAAGTACAGTCAAACCTTGATTTCTCAAACTCGATGGGGCCAAGAAAAAACTTCAAGATATCCAGGGTAAAATACTTAAAGAATAAGTTGTTGGGACTTCAATATCACTTCGACATATCCATGGTATTCGAGATATCTGTGTTACTAGATACCGAAGTTCAACTGTACTTCATAACTTGTGTTTTAATTGATAAATAAAAATAAAGCAGGATATAGATCTGCCCTCTTTAGACAGTGATGAAATATTGCATGCCAATTTGTCGAGCCCTAGAACAGTTTTAAAATTTATAGCATGAAATTTTCATAGGTTGATTTTTAGCTCACCTGAGCTGAAAGCTCAAGTGAGCTTTTCTGATCACCCATTGTCCATTGTCCGTCCATCTGTCTATCTGTCTGTCCGTCCGTCTGTAAACTTTTCACATTTTCAACTTCTTCTCAAGAACCACTGGGCCAATTTTAACCAAAATTGGCACAAAGCATCCATGAAGGGGAAGTTAAATTGTTAAAATGAAGGGCCAAGCCCCCTAACAACAAGGGGGAGATAATCAAGAAAAGGCAAAAAATAGGGTGGGGTCTTTAAAAAATTTTCTTCTCAAGAACCACTGGGCCAGAAAAGCTGAAACTTCTGTGAAAGCATCCTGGGGTAGTGTAGATTCTAAATTGTTCAAATCATGACCCCCGGGGGGTAGGGCGGGGCCACAATAGGGAATCCAAGTTTTACATTGAAATATAAAGAAAAAATCTTTAAAAATCTTCTTCTCAAGAACCACTGGGCCAGAAAAGCTGAAACTTTATGGAAGCATCTTGGGGTAGTGTAGATTCTAAATTGTTCAAATCATGACCCCTGGGGGTAGGACTGGGCCACAATAGGGAATCCCAGTTTTACATTGAAATATATAGAAAAAATCTTTAAAAATCTTCTTCTCAAAAACCACTGGGCCAGAAAAGCTGAAATTTACCGGGTATATGGAAGCATCCTGGGGTAGTGTAGATTCTAAATTGTTCAAATCATGACCCCTGGGGGTAGGACTGGGCCACAATAGAGAATCCAAGTTTTACATTGAAATATATAGAAAAAATCTTTAAAAATCTTCTTCTCAAGAACCACTGGGCCAGAAAAGCTGAAACTTATGTGGAAGTATCCTGGTGTAGTGTAGATTCTAAATTGTTAAAATCATGACCCCTGGGGGTAGGGTGGGGCCACAATAGAGAATCCAGGTTTTACATTGAAATAATATAGAAAAAATCTTTAAAAATCTTCTTCTCATGAACCACTGGGCCAGAAAAGCTGAAACTTATGTGGAAGCATCCTTGGGTAGTGTAGATTTTAAATTGTTGAAAACATGACCCCCGGGGTAGGGCGGGGCCACAATAGGGAATCCAAGTTTTACATTGAAATATATTGAAACAAAAATCTTTAAAAATCTTCTTCTCAAGAACCACTGGGCCAGAAAACCAGAAACTTATGTGGAAGTATCCTGTGGTAGTGTAGAATCTACATTGTTAGAAACACATGACCCCTGGGAGTAGGACTGGGCCATAATAGGGAATCCAAGTTTTACATTGAAATATATAAAAAAAAAATCTTTAAAAATCTTTTTTTCAAGAACCACTGGGCCAGAAAAGCTGAAACTTATGTGGAAGTATCCTGGGGTAGTGTAGATTCTAAAATGTTAAAATCATGACCCCTGGGATAGGATGGGACCATAATAGGTGTATTACATGGGGGAAAGTCTAGTGAAGAATAGCAGGGCCAAAGTTACTCAGGTGAGAGTTGTGGCCCATGGGCCTCTTGTTATTGTCAAGCAAGAATATTGCAGCCAGGGTTTTCTTTTTTATTGCTAAAAGTATTGCTCTTTTTGAAGGAAGATAATCATCCATAAACCAGATCTCACAATTAAAAAAGCATAAAATGTCTTCTTTACTGTAGTAACTATTGTTATTGATATATGATAATTTCATTGAAAAAAAACTATGAGAGAACCAAAGTTATCATCTGGAAACCATATTTTATTGCAATATTATATATGAACTTCTGACACTGACCTTTGGCCTCAGAATCAATAGGGGTCTTCTTTAGGCCGTAGGGAGTTGTGAAATAAAATTTCATTGCAAAGTTTCAAATGCTCTTTAAGATGTCGTCCAGAAACAAGTGTTTCACACAGACAGAATGTATGAATTTCTGACCTTGACCTGTGACCTTTTGACCTCAAAATCAATAGTGATCTTTTTTAGGCAATAGGGACTTGTGATTTTATATTTCATTGAAAAACACTCAAAGAAAAGTAGTTATCACCCAGGATTGTTTTTTGCCATGTATGAATTCTGACCTTGACCTTTTGACTTCAAAACCAACAGGGGTCTTCTATAGGCCATAGGGAGTTGTGATATAAAATGTAATTGCAAATGCTCAAAGGCTTTTTACGATATCATCTAGAAATGAAAGTGTTACACACAGACAGAATGTATGAATTTCTGACCTTGATCTTTGACTTTTGGGGTATTTTTTAGACTATAGGGGATTGTGATAGTAAATTACATTGCAAAAACGTAAAAGGTTTTTAATATATCTGGAAAGTGTAACACACAGACAAAATATTAGACAGAAGGATTGATAGACAGATCCAGATTAATATTCTCCACTTTCAATGTGAGCAGGGAACCAAAATTGTTTTGAGGGGGAAAACTTTCAGTAGATTATTAGAGGCTCACTTTTATTGCTGTTTTGTCTTTAGTACATTTCTAGTTTTCTGACCCAATGGCTCATTTATTACTGGCATTCTGTATTTTATCATTTTAGGTTGTTGCAAGCACATTTCGTTTGGCTCTTCTTCTTGGAGGAGATATATGCAAAGGTTCACATCATCAGTTAGAACACACCTATCAGACCCAGTATGTATGTTTGAAAGGAAAAAAAAAAGATAAGTAGTAGTTACCCCATATAATATTGTTGGTTATGTGCAGAAAATCAATGAGCATGGTCATAATGACACAAGGGAGCGTAGCTTCCGAGTTGTCATTATGAACACATCCATCGGGTATCTTCACATAATTATATAATAGTGTTGTGCTTTGCATGCACTATGCCTAAATAGTAGTCAGAGTTTGACACATGGTGCATGAGCTGGAGGCGAGTGCACTACGTGTCAAACCCTGACTACTATTTAGGAATAGTGCATACAAGCCCAACACTGTTGTTATTATTAGGCTGACTGTTGTATAAAAACAACAATGTTTTCTCCATTTGCAATGTTTCATCACATCTTACAAATATGTTTATGCACCCCTATTATGACGTCACGTTGTGCTATGTGTACATCATAATTTTTTTTCACTTTTGAATGTTTCATGCAATTAGTTATAATGTACAGATAGTTTCAAAGAATTTTAGTTGAGTTAAGGGAAAAAAGTTGCAAGAAACTATTTTAGAAAAAATTATTTTGTTTATTTTTAGGTCACCTGAGTCACTCAGGTGACCTATTGCTATCTGTTTTTGTCCGTCGCATTTGTTGTATGTTGTTCGTTGGTCGTAAACTTTTGAACATATTTAGCTTCTTCTATGGAACCACCCAACCAATTTCAACCAAATTTGGCATATAGCATCTATGGGTGAAGGGGAGTAAAAATTTTGAAATTCATGGTCCCTGCCCCCCTTGGGCCTGAGGGATGGGGCTAAAACCATCAAAATTAATGCAATCTTTAAAAAATCTTCTTCTTTACTCCTGGACATTAAGCAGTCAAACTGCTGGCATGATTGTAATAAGCATTGAGCTCTCTACCAAAATTGTGAAATTCATGGCCCCAGGGTCAGGGGTTCTGGTGTTAGGGCGGGGCTCTAATGATTATATAGTGAAAATACATTAATTCTTTGAAAATCTTCTCCTCTGCTCCTGGGTATTAAGCCCATGAACTAAGTGCATAGTTATGATGAGGAAGAATGCCTCTTCTAAAATTGTGAATTTCATGGCCCCTGCGTCAGAGGTTCTGGTGTTAGGGCGGGGCTCTAATGATTATATAGTGAAAATACATTAATTCTTTGAAAATCTTCTCCTCTGCTCCTGGGTATTAAGCCCATGAACTAAGTGCATAGTTATGATGAGGAAGAATGCCTCTTCCAAAATTGTGAATTTCATGGCCCCTAGGTCAGGGATTCTGGTGTTAGGGCGGGGCTCTAATGATTATATAGTGAAAATACATTAATTCTTTGAAAATCTCCTTCTCTGCTCCTGGGTATTATTTAAACAAACTAAGTGCATGGTTATGATAAGCAATGATGCCTCTTCCAAAATTGTGAAATTCATGGCCCATGGGTCAGGGGTTCTGGTGTTAGGGCGGGGCTCTATTGATTATATAGTGAAAATGCATTAATTCTTTGAAAATCTTCTCCTCTGCTCCTGGGTATTAAATAAACTAACTTAGTATATACATGTACTTTTAATGAGCAAGAGTGCCTCTTTCAAAGTTTTGAATTTCATGGCCCCTGGGTCAGGGGTTCAGGTGTAAGGGGGGGGGGGGGCTCTATTGATTATATAGTGAAAATACATTTAATTCTTTGAAAATCTTCTTCTCTGCTCCTGGGTATTAAACAAACTAACTGAATACATAGTTATGATGAGCATGTCTGTCTCTTCCAAGATTGTGAAATTTATGGCCCCAGGGTCAGAGGTTCTGGTGTTAGGGCGGGGCTCTATTGAACAAATTATATAGTGAAAATGCATTAATTCTTTGAAAATCTTCTCCTCTGCTCCTGGGTAATATATAAACTAACTAAGTATATAATTATGTTGAGCAAGAGTGTCTCTTCCAAAATTTTGAATTTCATGGCCCCTTGGTCAGGGGTTCTGGTGTTAGGGTGGGGCTCTTTAATTATGTAGTGAAAATGCATTTATTCTGTTAAATAATCCTTAGTGTTGAGCAGATAATAAAGTGCATGGTGCTTCTTACAAAATTTTAAAAACTTTCTGGTCCCAGGGTGAGGGGTTTTGTGTTTCTCATTTGGGGGGGGGGGGGTCTATTGATAATATAGTAAAAATGTGTTAATTCCTTGAAAATCTTCAACTAAGTGCAGAGTTATGATGATGAGGGTACCTCTTCCAAATTTGTGAAATTCATGACCCTGGGTCATGGGTTTTGGTGTTGGGTAGTGCTGTGTTGAATCTGTAGTCATGGTGCATGTAGTGAAAATGCATTATTTCTTTGAAAACCTTCTCTGCTCCTTGGCATATCAAAGGCAAACGAAGTAAAAGTTTTAATAAAAGGATATTTTTACCAGATTTTTAAACATCTGGACCATTTGGTCAGATGTTCTGGTCCTGGCCAGGTCTCTATTAATTTGTATTCTACTGAGAGAAGTTATTCCCCTTTGCAATTTTCTTTTGATAATTAATCACAGCAAATAATGTATTTGAAAAGTTAACAGAATAAGAGAATTGTGCAAGAAATTTTATAGTATAATACAAAAACTACTTTCATAGTTTTAATGATCAGATAGACTTGTAAATAATAGAATAATAAAACTGAGACAAAAATAACTTATTAAAATGTTCTTCAAAGACCAAGAGACCGTTCACGGTAGCTCAGTCGGTAGAGCGCTCGCTCCGTGATCGGGAGGTCGTGAGTTCGAATCTCGGCCGCGACAGACCTAAGTCGATAAAAAATAGGTAGCAACTGTTCCTTCGCCATGCGCTCGGCACTTTGAAGTGAAAGTTGCGGGTCCTTCGGATGAGACCTTAAAAACCGAGGCCCCGTGTCACGGCAGGCGTTGGCACGATAAAGATCCCTCACTGCTCAATGGCCCTGAGTGCCGAGTAAAGGTCAAAATTTGAAGCCCTTCACCGGTATATGGTGACGTCTCTATATGAGTGAAAAATTCTCGATTGGGACGTAAAACAATATACAATCAATCAATCAATCAAAGACCAAGAGAGGCCAATGTGATAAATTACATGTTGGGGTTAAAAATAGTACAGAATTACCAATAGTTTGTTAACAGTCTGCATGGTGATAGTGATAAATTGGGGGCAGATTAGAATTTAATTTTAATATGAGTTGTTACTGAATATTAGACATTAATTCATTGATCCTGATCATCCTATTTCTTTTGCTTTTGGGCAACAAAGCTTCATCTACCAGTTTATTTTATATTCTATGGATCCTTTAAGTTGTATTATACTCAGGTGACTGTTAAGGCCCTTGGGCCTCTTGTTTTCTTTAAGTGTCAATATTTGAAACTAAGTTTATATATATATATTAAAATACAGTGGTGTTGATAACGGCGTCTGTGGCTAAATCGGTAGCACATCGGACTCACAATCTTGGGGTCATGAGTTTGATCCCTGGCATGGGTGATGTCGGATTTTCCTTAGAAAATGAAGCCGTGCACTATTTCAGCGTAGTATGCTTATAACGCTATATAAATAATAATTAGATACTTTTTCCATAGTTTTGTCTTTATAATTATCAAGTACTTTTTTCTTCAACTTCTTTTAATGAATGTTGTCAAATTTTTCATCTTTTTTGGTTGATGGGTAGGCAGCAAATTTAAAGTGTACATTTCTGAACATTACAATGACAGAGGTCATGATCAAGGATGGGACATTTTTGTAGGTCTGACAGATCTAGTATCCATGATGAGACTGTTCTTTGATTCTTGCGTTGTACAGCAAAGGAGTTTCTATATACTAAACATTCTATAATTTTTCTATATGATAACTGACCTGGACAACTTTATCATCAGAAATATACATGTACCAGAAAAAGTTTAACTAATAAGTCAAAACTATGTTGTTTTATTCACATTTTCACTCTCAAAATCAAAAATACCAATTAATTAAATACCACAAGTATTTGACTTTCGATCATATTCTTGAATTTAGACTGTGTCCTGAGAATATGTACTATTTCTTCCTGTTTAAGGACATACGCAACATACCTTACCTACTGATAATATTTCAAGAATTCTTAATATAAGATTATAGTGCCATCTGATGTTCATAGACAAAAAATCAACATGTATTACCAGAGGTTTTGAAAAGATTTCAATTAATGAAAATTCTTGTATAATTCAAAGAAAAATATACAAAAATTACTTAACATATATTCTAGATGTTTTGGTTATCCAGACTTATTTTTATTAGAAGAAGTATACAACAGCATATATAGACATTTTGTTGCACACAGTTCGTTCAAGTATTGGACCTCTTCAACTCCAGGTAAAAAGACAATAAGTTCAAACTACGTTCCTTATGTCCTTAAATGGCAGTTGAAAGCAATCCCTATAATGATCACTTCCCTTGTTCATGTATGATCTACTTTGAATTCATATTTAATTCAGAATAGCGTTTTAAAACTCAAAGTAATTAATGAAAGAATTAAAATCATAAATCGTGCGCACGAGATAATATGTTGTGCACAAGAGATACTATGTCATGAGCCTGAGATATGTCCTGCGCACAAGATAAAATGTATTGCTCATGAGATAATATGTCATACGCATGAGATATTAAGTTATGTGCATGAGATATTATGTAGTGAGTACAAGAAATATTGAGCTCACGAATATGTTGAGCACATGACATATTATGTCTCTTGTGCATGAGATATTATGTAGTGCGCACAAGATATTATGTGCACACAAGATAATATGCTGTGTCCATGAGATATGTCGATCGTGCCCATGAGATATGATGTCAAGCAAATGAGATAATATGTCAAGCGCATGAGATATTATGTCTCTTGTGCACAAGGTATTATGTCGTGTGCACAAGATATTATTATGTTGTGCACACAAGATTATATGTCGTGTCCATGAGATATTATGTCGTGCACACAAGATAATTTTTGCCTAGTATATTTGAAAAAAAAAATCTATGTCCTTAATTAATTTGATATCAATTTTTCTTCATATATGTGTTATTCTTTAGTTGTCTGTTCTGAAGGGCCCCAGACTGGTTTCGATAAATCTTATCTGTTCCAATTTGTATCAATGAGACAGGTTGGGTTGATGTTATTTTTGTCACATTTACAAAATGTGAAAATTAAATGATTCAAACCTTTGTCAACTTAATTTATTTCAAACATTTAATGATATAAAGAAATTTGTGCATGTAGAATAGATGCAATATAAAACTCAATTTTGGATTTTCGAGTTTTTTTGGTCTGTTATTTATAGAAAAATTAATTGAAGGTTTTGCCTTCATCGATAAGAAAACCACGAGAATAGTTTTAAAAGATAAATTGTGCTTTTTTCAGCATAACAAATCAAAAACAAGTGCTGAAATTTTCTGCACTTGTTTTTGTTTTGTTAATAAGGAGGCTCATTACACCACTTTTTGATGACGTACTACACAGAAAAATAAACCTCCATTGTTTCGTCTATAGAGGAAATTCGAGTTGAAATCTACAACCTCATTGAAATGAATTATAATTGACTTGCACTTTTAGAGTACTGTACTCTTGTTGGTTTGTGTGCTTGTTTTTTATGATTTCTTTGAAAAATGTATATTTATTCTGGAAATTTTAGCTTATTCTGAATCTGATATGTTCAACCGTTCCTGAGTGTTTTGAGTCAGGGGGATTTAGGAAAGATAATTCTTGCAAGTGGTCTTTTTATTCCAATTATTTTTTAAATTGGAATTTTCATTTCCTTAAAACATTTTTCATTCAATTTGTCCATTGTTATTCATTAATATGTATTCCTTGTCTATTTATAACTGATTTTCCAAATTATTCATGCAAAGATGAGGAAGAAAATCTCATTAATTCTTTTTTGGGAGAAAATTATTTTTTCTAATAAAAATAATATTGAATATTATGAAGTGTTATTATATTGCTTACATATCTGAAGATGATATCCATCACTTGACACTGAGATTTCTGCAATACTATCAATAATAACTTTTCAGTGCTTTTTAATTTCTTTTTCTCTTAACTTTGGTATATCTAGTACAGATGATTTTTTTGTCTTCAAAAAGTGTCTTGGGTCTTTGCAATGTTCTTTTGTCTTGACTCGATGGGTGGAGTTTATCAAAAAGTATGAGTTATGTACAAATAACCCACACTTTTAACAAAAGAAATCACACCTAACTACATCTTCGCTAGCCAAGGGTTTCCAATCCAAAATCTACTCATGTAGAGTAGATTTTGGATCAGAATCCCTTGGCTAGCGAAGATGACCTAACTAAGGTACAAGAGTTTTCATACAGCCTATCTACCTGTAAGTTCAAGAGATATTCAAAGGATTTTTGTCATAAATGAATATTAAATTAAGAATATAGGTGGGATTCTTTTCTTTCATTTCTGTCTTTCACAAATTAGTGCACTGTTGTAATGTTTGACACATCAAGTTAACTGAAAGTAAGAAGCATTTTGAATGTCTTAAAATAATTTTAAAAATTTACATTAAAAATTGTTGACATTTTCTGATTTAAAAAAGAAAAGCATTCTATTTATTTAGTACATGTAATTTGTAATATAATAATATATAGAAATATGATGATAGTATAATTGAACCCTTTACAGATGGAGCACACCGCATCGCAGGAGGGCTTATTCTACTCAGTTCCTCAGAATGATGTCAATAAACTCATGTTTAACAACTGGATGAGTCCACATGAAAAAAATATGGTAAGGAGTAGTTTCTTATCCCTTTTAGTACTGCTCTTCCATCAATTATTCTTTTTGTTGGAAGGCGGGGGGGGGGGGGGGGGGGGGGGTAAAATGAATCTTGTCTGCTGGTCCTTTTATGCTCAACTTTGCTAAAACTCACGTGTACTATGAGACACATAAGAAAAAGTGGTTGAGTCATATTTGGGCAAAATATTGATCAAAGTGATTAGTAATAAAAATATCCTTTTCTAAATTTTATTTTTTAATGCTGAAGTCATGCCTCAATGACTCAAGGTCATTTGAGTAAGATCAGGGTCATGGGGATTGAAACATAAATTACTAAAGTTTGCAATCTGATTAAAATCATATCCTTTGATCTGCTCACATAGATCTCTACACAAGGATCTGAAGAAACCCCATTCAGGGTCATCTCCTGGTGACCTTTCTAATGAAAATATTCATTAAAATTTTGACCAATCAGAGAAATCGTACTGAAACGACATTCAGGAAAATGAATGTAGAAGTGAAAGTAGCTGTGGAGAAGATCTTATCATTTCGTACTAAACAAAGAGCTAAAAAACAAGGCAAAAGCAAGTACTAAATATATTTCTGTACAGAAAAGACTGTGGCCATTCTTTTGACAGGCTACAGAAACCAGGTCACAATTTTCCGTTCGTGTATCATCGGGGCTTTCACTTCTGTAACTGAATTCCGAGATACTTCTAAATTCTTGCAAGCAAATGTTTAATTGGATAATTGAAAGGTTACCGGGAGATGACCCTGAATGGGGTTTCTTCAGATCCTTGTGTAGCAATCTATGTGAGCGGATCAAAGGATTTGATTTTAATCAGATTGCTAAAGTTTGGATTGTAGATTTTTGTTAGACAAAGTGTTAGTGTCATACTTGAGCAAAGATAAGGTGAATAAATAAAACGTAAACATAATTTTTTGTTGAAATGCCTCTTTTTGGGCTGGATTGTTTCTGGATGGACACTTTGTGTCCGTCCATCTGACTAGATTTCTGCTTTACTGTTCATTTGCTGAGTTTTGGATGACTATGCATAGAAGGATTAGATGTTTAAATATGATGATTAAATGATTAAATACTGCCACCAGGGTTGACCTTGACATTTGATCTTACTTACTAATAGTTACTATTTTTTAGCTTTTTTACAAAAGTTATGATAATTTTCTGTGTAAAAAGTCAATTTTGCTGTAACTTTATTACAGTTCTAACCCTCTCAGCTGTGTAGAATGTAAAACTTATCAATCAGATAAAAAGCTAAAAAATATGTTACATAAATAGGAACAAAACCAACCGGGTTATCAATTGCTTAAAAGCACGATTTGCAGAAAATTGTTGCTACAAAGTATCGTCTGTCTGTGATGATAACTTTTCAATGTTAAAGTTGAAGAAAGTCAAACATTTATTAATTAAACTTTTAATGCACTCAGTATTAGTATTTTTCTCACAATTATTTAAAAAAAAATTTTGAAATGTGTAAAATTTAATGCCCGGACATGAGTATATAGCTGGGCATAAGTGTTTGTCATGTCCTTCTTCCTTCCCTCTGTCTTTCTGTCTGTCCTTCCATCACACTTTGCATTTAGCTCACTTTCAAAGAAACTGATACATAATTTGGTGAGAATTCATCAACTGTGTCCAATTTTTTTTACCTTGACCTACCTTGACCTTCCCAATTACCTTTGACTTTACTATTTATTGTGTAACAGTATTAAATTCAGTTTTAAGGACATTGGCAAGGCAATGTTTTCCGGAGAAAAAAGGATTAATATTAATTTTTTTCACTTATAAAATAGTGATTGAGAGTGACCTCCCGTGTAGAATTCTCCACGCAGTGAAAAACCAATAAAGGGTATGTTACAGAGGTAAACAAAAGCATGTGTGCTTCCTTCATTCATATGCTTCATTTACCATAGCTTATGCTGGGAAGGGCAAAGACCATTTTAGTAACTATGAATACAAATTAAAAACAAATCCATACCAATAATTTTACGACAATTTGTTTCTAATGAAATAAATTACATATAATAGAAACAGTCAACCAATCTCTTGACCATTATGAATAATAATTATATAGATGTTAAGGGAAGTAACTCTAAAATAAAGAACGGTGCCAGTATGTCTGTGTCTTGTCTCTATACATTTTCAGCCAAAATATCTAGATGTCATAGGTAAAGAGGATACAGTTATGTATATAATACATAAACGATATGAAATAAATGGGGTTTGGTGAAAACCTATGGTGAAAAATTATGTAGGTCCCTTTTATCAACATTTTGCATTGGAAATGCATTGAGAATTGTAAAATCATTGATTTGACATAATCTAAATAAGAAGGTTGGCTTGGTGGGTTAAACTAACTAGAATATAACCTGTTTAATACCATCAAACCTACTCAAGAGTTCTTGAAAAATTCTATACGATATCCAGAAACCTTGCCAATGTCCTTAAAGAAATTGTTCAAGATATTTTCATCAAACTTCATATACTAATGCAAATTTTCATGTTACATTACTAATGAACCCTGGGCAGGGCATTCATGTCCTATGGACATATTTCTAGTTTCTTAGAATTTTCTTTTGACTTACTTTTACACACATTCAAGTTATTTTAAACACTCTCACTTTACATTAATTGTGAAATCTGAAGTTCAGTCTGTTATGAATGGATTCATGAAAAACAGTTAAGATTTTTTGTAATTTTTAGGTCACCTGAGTCACTCTGGTGACCTATTGCTATCTCTTTTCGTCCGTCGTCGTCCGTCGGTCGTCAGTCGTAAACTTTTAAACATTTTCAGCTTCTTCTCTGGAACCAGCAAACCAATTTCAACCAGTTTTGGCATATAGCATCTATGGGTGAAGGGGAACAAAAATTTTGAAATTCGTGGCCCCTGCCCCCCTGGGGCCTGAGGGGTGGGGCCAAAACCATCAGAATTAATGCAATCTTTAAAAATCTTCTTCTTTACTCCTGGACATCAAGCAGTCAAACTGTTGGCATGATTGTAATAAGCATTGAGCCCTCTACCAAAATTTTGAAATTCATGGCCCCAGGGTCAGGGGTTCTGGTGCTAGGGCGGGGCTATATAGATCATATAGTGAAAGTGCATTATTTCTTTGAAAATCTTCTTCTCTTCTCCTGGATATTATTGAAACAAATTGAATACATACTTATGATATGCAAGAGTGACTCTACCAAAATTGTGAAATTCATAGCCCCAGGGTCAGGGGTTCTGGTGCTAGGATGGGGCTATATAGATCACGTAATGAAAGTGCATTATTTCTTTGAAAATCTTCTTCTCTACTCCTGGGTATTATTTAAACAAATTGAATACATACTTATGATATGCAAGAGTGACTCTACAAAAATTGTGAAATTCATAGCCCCAGGGTCAGGGTTTCTGGTGCTAGGACGGGGCTATATAGATAATATAGTGAAAGTGCATTATTTCTTTGAAAATCTCCTTCTCTACTCCTGGGTATTATTTAAACAAATTGAATACATACTTATGATAAGCAAGAGTGACTCTACAAAAATTGTGAAATTCATAGCCCCAGGGTCAGGGGTTCTGGTGCTAGGGCGGGGCTATATAGATAATATAGTGAAAGTCCATTATTTCTTTGAAAATCTTCTTCTCTCCTCCTGGGTATTATTGAAACAAATTGAATACATACTTGTATTTATGATAAGCAATAGTGACTCTACAAAAATTGTGAAATTCATAGCCCCAGGGTCAGGGGTTCTGGTGCTAGGGCGGGGCTATATAGATTATATAGTGAAAGTGCATTATTTCTTTGAAAATCTTCTTCTCTACTCCTGGGTATTATTGAAACAAATTGAATACATACTTATGATAAGCAAGAGTGACTCTACCAAAATTGTGAAATTCATAGCCCCAGGGTCAGGGGTTCTGGTGCTAGGGCGGGGCTATATAGATCATATAGTGAAAGTGCATTAATTCTGTGAAAATCTTCTTCTCTACTCCTGGGAATTATTTAAACAAATTAAATACATAGTTATGATAAGCAAGAGTGACTCTACAAAAGTTGTGAAATTCATAGCCCCAGGGTCAGGGGTTCTGGTGCTAGGGCGGGGCTATATAGATCATATAGTGAAAGTGCATTATTTCTTTGAAAATCTCCTTCTCTACTCCTGGGTATTATATAAACAAATGCATAAGTTATGATAAGCAAGGATGCCTCTTCCAAAATTGTGAATTTCATGATCCCTGGATCAGAGGTTCTGATGTTAGGGTGGGGCTCTATTTATTATAGAGTGAAAATGCATTAATGCTTTAAAAATCTTCTCTGCACCTGGGCATATCAGAGGCAAAAAGAGTAAAAGTTTTAATAAGGAAGGGTATTTTTACCAGATTTTTGAACATCAGGACCATTTGGTCAAGTGTTCTGGTCCAGGTCAGGGCTCTATTAATTTGTATTCTACTGAGAGGAGTTATTCCCCTTTGCCATTTACTTGTGATAATTAATCACTGTAAATAGTGTACTTGATAGGTTAATAGAACAAGCATTCTGAGAGTATTGCATTAGCAATACTAGTCCCCTACCGGCAACTGTAATCTGGTTCCGTTCCAGTTAAGAATTGAAAATGCCATAATTCCGTCAAAAATTAATGAAGCGGGACGAAATGCAAACTTGATCTATAACTAATCAAGGTAAAGCCACATACCAAAAATCAGCTCAATATCTACAAGCGTTTAGAAGAAAATTGCGGAAAACCCGTAAAAATTGAAAAGGCCGTAATTCCGTCAAAAATCAATGAAGCGGAACGAAATGCAAACTTGATCTGTAACTCATCAAGATACACTTACATACCAAAAATCAGCTCAATATCTGCAAGCGTTTAGGAAAAAAGTGCGGAAAACCAAGTGGGACAGACTGACAGACAGACAGAGGGACAGACAGACAGACGGACGGACAGACAGACAGACAGACGGACGGACAGACGGACGGACAGACTCAGAGGAAACCTATAGTCCCCTCCGGTTTCACCGGTAGGGGACTAATAAGAGAATTATGCAAGAATTTTTATTGTATAATACAAAAAGTACTTTCATAGTTTTAATGATCAGGTAGACTTGTAAATAATAGATAAATAAAAATGAGACAAAAATAACTTGTCTTATTAAATGTTCATCAAAGACCAAGAGAGGCCAATGTAAGAGATTTCAACAAGGAATTAAGGAGGCTCATTACACCCACAGTTTATTTTAGATTTCATTACAGCACCACTTATTATGAAGATTTCAAATATCCAAATGAAGGTTATGATACGATAAATATTTTTAAAATATTTTTTAATCTTTTTTCTGATTTTGGTTAAATGTTTTTTTTCAAGTTTCTGATTGATAGTATTGCAGAAATCTCAGTGTCAAGTCATGGATATTATCTTCAGATATGTAAGCATTATACATGTAATAACACTTCATAATATTCAATATTATTTTCATTAGAAAAAAATAATTTTCTCCCAAAAAGAATTAATGTGATTTTCTTCTTAATCTTTGCATGAATAATTTGGGAAATCAGTTATAAATAGACAAGGAATGTATATTAATGAAAAACAAGTGACAAATTGAATGAAAATGTTTTCAGGAAATGAAAATTCCAATTTAAAAAATAATTGGAATAAAAAGTCCACTTGCAAGAGTTATCTTTCCGAAGTCCTCCTGACTCAAAACACTCAGGAACGGTTGAACTTATCAGATTCAGAAAAAGCTAAAATTTCTAGAATAAATATACATTTTTCAAAGAAATAAAGACAAACACAAAAACCAACAAGGGTACAGTACTCTAAAAGCGCAAGTCAATTATAATTTATTTCAACGAGGTTGTAGATTTCAACTCGAATTTCCTCTATACGTACATGTTGTAAGTGGTAGAACTTGCTGCTTTCGCTATGACATTGTACACTACTTGGGTAGCGAAAATTTGACTGTCATTCTCATTGGTCTCTACTTAAAAATAACCCTTCTTCGTTTGTTATTTATAATGAATCCGTTACCTTGTTCTCATTGTTTACAACATCGCATGTAGTCTATTTAAAGAGCGTTTTAAAGACTTAGATCATCAGCAAAGCGAACCTCTACAATTCATCCCCAGTAGAAAACAGACGAAACAATGAAGGTTTATTTTTCTGTGTAGTACGTCATCAAAAAGTGGTGTAATGAGCCTCCTTAAAAGAGTACAGAAGCACTGATAGTTTGTTTACATACTGTCTGGTGAGAGTGATAAATGGGGAACATATTAGAACCTAATTTATGAACTGTTAATGAATACTAGACTAATAATATTGTTGATCCTGATCACCCTATTTTTCTTGCTTTTGGGCAACAAAGCTTCACCGTTAAGGCCCTTGGGCCTCTTGTTTAAAGTTAAGAACTTATGCAAAATCTTAAAGAATTTTGTGAAAAATGTTTCTGATTCATTTGCATTAATATGATTTACATATTGTATATGTCCAATTCTTTTGATATAGTCTACTTATAATGCTATATATAGATTACAAACTTATAAATATGGTTAAATAAAATACATGTATAGACTTAATGTATTGTATAAGCATGTTTTACCATAGCACCTTTTTTTAACTAAAATTTTAGCACCATAGTGACTCTGTACCTTATTTCATGAAGTTATGATTTTCTTGTCTTTCAGAACAGAACATTTCAAGAGTATTGTATCTTAATCAGAAGGCCAGCACTTGAAATTATGGATATCTTAAGGAGGATAAATTACAACTATCCCCTCACACGGATTCTGCTATGTATCCTTGTTGTACATCTGCCTTACCTTGTATATAAAATGATTAGGGATGTCAACTGCTTAACCGGGTACTCGATCGAATGTCCTAGTATCAAATACTTAAATCGGTACTCAGTTACTCGGTTGTATATTTTTTTTCATATTTCAAAGTGCATATATTTATTAAAATTTATCAAGATATGTTAATTAAATATGCACTGTCCATGTCTGTACAGTAATTAGCGTCACCTTCACCAGTTAATACCTGTTATCTCCTGTGGCTGTGTACATGTATATACAGTAATTACCGTGACCAATCACTGGACACCGTACACAGCTGTTCTCACCTCTTGTGACCTTAATTTTTGGTTGTATTTAATTATTTGTTTTGAATGAACATCATTCAATTATGATTTATTAATTATCGTTAGATAATTAGCATACAGTAGCGAAATCTGACATACGTAGAAATACTGCTACCAATGCAAAAGTGAAGAAATATTTTAAAATAACCGAAGATCAAAAAAATGTTTAAAGTCAGCTGTACATATTAAATTTAGCCTATAAAGGGGGAAACAACCATATATTTAAGGAGTCACTGTCTACTTTGTTGGGTATGCCAGTCATTGCCAGAGCATCAACAGCAGTTGGAAACGTGGGAATATTTATGCATGATGGGTGAAGTTGCAAATTCTAGTATCAGGAAATCAACATACTTAACTTTCAAAGTTATCACAAAGAAAACATTTGGAAATGTAAATAATATACAACTCGCAATCATGACAACGTCCATTCCCAAAGATATTCTCTTTCACTAGTCTAATCATTACAAAGTTGCGTCCTTTTCTTCTGTTGAACAAATCTTGCAAATTGTCTTCCTAAACAAGTATTGTATTTAAAGCATTGATTTTGTAGTTATTGGTTTATTAATTGATCATGTCTTTGTGTTTGTTTGATACATAAATTAAGTACCAAGAAATGGATGTAAAATTATTTCCTTTAAACAAGATTTTTTTTTTCTTTACTTAGTTCAGTTTGCAGCTAAATAATTTATTTTGAAAAGTTTGGTAGAGGTTAGACATCTATATTTGCTTTGTATAAATTCTGGGTTCATTTTTTATATATATGTATTCTTAACAAAATGTAGATGGAGAATTGAATGCTGGCAAAAAGTTTACTATGACTCATGTGATGCACTTTTGCAGGAGCCAGAACTGGATTTTCCTAACTGTACCATGGGGTAAATTTTGGTCATGGATCAGGAAAAAAAAAATATATAACTTAAATGTTTGGGGTTTTATTTAGTGTTAAAAATTTAATTTTAGCTGGAATGAAATTTGAATATATTATTGAAGAATTTTATGAAAAGTAAGTCATAGTTGTATCATTTGTTTTGAATTGAAAGTTCATGAGATAACAATATAAAACCGTAATTGTCAGACAGAAAACAGAAATACAAGAATTTTATAATGCAAAAGTGAATCCTGGGAAAAAATGATAATTCAGTAAAATATATAGCCAACATGATTATACAGTAAAACAGGCTTATAGTGAACATGATAATACAGTAAAACACACTTATAGTGAATATGATAATACAGTAAAACACACTTATAGTGAATATGATAATACAGTAATACATGCTTATAGTGAACATGATAACACAGTAAAACACACTTATGGTGAACGTGATAACACAGTAAAACACACTTATGGTGAACATGATAATACAGTAAAACACACTTATAGTGAATATGATAATACAGTAAAACACACTTATAGTGAATATGATAATACAGTAATACATGCTTATAGTGAACATGATAACACAGTAAAACACACTTATGGTGAACATGATAACACAGTAAAACACACTTATGGTGAACATGATAATACAGTAAAACACACTTATAGTGAATATGATAACACAGTAAAACACACTTATGGTGAACATGATAACACAGTAAAACACACTTATGGTGAACATGATAATACAGTAAAACAGCTTATAGTGAACATGATAACACAGTAAAACACACTTATGGTGAACATGATAATACAGTAAAACAAGCTTATAGTGAACATGATAATACAGTAAAACACACTTATAGTGAATATGATAATACAGTAAAACACGCTTATAGTGAATATGATAATACAGTAATACATGCTTATAGTGAACATGATAATACAGTAAAACATGCTGATAGTGAACATGATAATACAGTAAAACATGCTTATAGTGAACATGATAATACAGTAAAACATGCTTATAGTGAACATGATAATACAGTAAAACACACTTATAGTGAATGTGATAATACAGTAAAACACACTTATAGTGAACATGATAATACAGTAAAACATGCTTATAGTGAACATGATAATACAGTAAAACACACTTATAGTGAATGTGATAATACAGTAAAACACACTTATAGTGAACATGATAATACACTAAAACACGCTTATAGTGAACATGATAATACACTAAAACATGCTTAAAGCAAACATGCATATAACAAATTGATGCTTTCAGCTAAGTTATTTTCATTCCCTGTTGCTTTGAAATATATTGTGAACGTAACGGATATAACAGATCACATTTAAAATGAAACAAAATCATCCATCCCTGGCACTTCATTATAAGTGTGTTTTACTGTTTTACAGAGATTAATCAGTTGATTTATTGCACCCTAAGCACAATGTTCTATACATGTATCCCAGAAATGGAACCCCCCCCCCCTTCATTTATTAGCAAATCCAATCCAAACTTGCATAATTGTTACATCTAGGGATGCACACTCCCAGAACATTCATTTTGTGTGAGACTTTGCCATACTTATAGATAACATTCATTGAGGTTAGCTACTGTATGTTATCTTTGATTACCTATGTTTTTGTTTTAGCCAATGACTGGAATTGCAGAAGATCTAGAGTGTCATATAGCAACCACACCGAATTCCTGTTTGATTTACCTATACATTCTAAGAACCTGCTGGAAGATTTTCTGATTAAAAATTCACATCTTATTGAGAATTTCAAAGTAAGTTTTAACTCTATGGCACATGGCTGAAAATACAACATAAGTGACAAATAATAAGTGTATTTGTAATGTTAAAGAAACAGACATAACACTAAAATCATTATTACATTTTACAGATAATGGTAATATTTTGTGCAGCAATATAATGAATATTCCACTGATTAATGCTATGTTTCTGTAAAATCATGTATATTGACTATAACATGTCATTGGTACTATAGTATTTAATATTAGAAAGGGAGTTTAAACTCTCTTTGAATAATAGGGACACCCAATGTTTTAATTAATATCTATTTCTATGGAAATGTCCATACCTATAAGCCTCAACTCTCATGTGATAAAAATTGTAATTTTTTGATGCATGTAATTGCTTTTGATGGTCTGCCCATCTGTTCACAATTTGAACCTAGGTGATGAATTTGTTTTAATACATCTGTAAATCACTTTTTATTTAAAAGAACTTCATTTTCACATACCTTTGATGAAGACTCTTAAAAATGTCATTCTTGCATATATTGGTATTATTAAAGATTAAATATAAAAATAACCAAAATTTGTGAAATTTTTGTCTCACTTTAAAATACCAAATAACAATCTCATTAAAGTAGGGTCTTTTGAAAAAAAAAAAAGTGGTAATCTACAGTACATGTTTTATCATGTTAAAGTGAAAGCTGCTTACTACATAAGTTATTTGTTAGGCTGTAGGTATCATATTAACAGATGTGCCTCTAGAAAGAGTAAGGAAGAAAAATAAGGAAATTAAAGTAAAAATATTTGAGTGAATATTCTTAAAAAAAAGATGAACAAGACAGCATCAAATTTTATAAATGAAGTATGAACTTGGTAAACTATTGATCGTGTATGTAAGTCAAGATGTGGGATAGCCAGTATAAGCACCTAATGTCAGATTAATCAAACTCTGTGCTACCAGCTAAAACTGACATTTAAATCAGTGTGTAAAATTAAAAAATTCAGAGACCTAAATTGCTTTTTTGCACTTTTTAGGGTATAGTTAGGCTTTATCAAAGTAGGAAATAATTTGATTCTAATTCAATTTCACAAACATAGTCAATTGAATGTTTTTACTGTGTGTCCACTCCTCCTTCTCATCAAGTTGATAAGGTTATTCCAGAGCTTTGATATTAACTTATCCTTTTGCAACCGCAGAGAGCAGTTACATATATGCCATAAACCACTGCACCCCACCAGTAAGACCCCAAAAGTCGAGGTCACAATTCTCTGTCTGTTCTTTAATCATGGACATCTAGCAGTCAAACTGTTTGCATCATTACAACAAGTACTCACTGATTTACTAAAGCTGAAAAAAAACCCATGGCCTCCAAGTCCATTTTTTTTGAATTTCTCATTGCCCTATATTGTTATATTTTTATTAACGTTGCTGTAGCTCATTGTGACTTCACTTTAGCGCGAGTTTCTCCATGTATATTTGTACTCATGAGTATACAGGAAAATAGCATGCAAATCAATTTCGTAGTTGGTTAGGTAGAAAAACACAGTAAATATTATAGAGTGTAACTTTGAAAGTTTTATTTATTTATGAATATTTATCTAGCAGAATTTTTGCATGGTGGCAGTAAGCTGTTGGCCCTTACCAAATTTATGAAATTGTGTATCATCAGGGATTGGGCTAGGTTGAACATAAATTTAAAATGCTTTTAAATTTTATGTTTAAAAATTTAACTTGCTCCTTATCTAGGACCAAGCTTCAATAATTTGATGGTAAACATAGAGTCCTCACCTATTTGTAAAATTCATATTACTTGAGTTCCTATTGCAGGTGGTATAGAGTTGGTCACATCAAGAGAAACTCATGATACTCAGGTGACCATCAAGGCCCATGGGCCTGTTGTTCTGAACCACATTTCCATTTGCAAACTTTGAGGAAGATAAGGAAATAAATCACAAATGTTCTTCTTTTTTTTGGGGGGGGGGGGTGTTCTGTTGATCATTTAAAGCTGAACATGACTTATAAATAGCCATACTCTATATTTTATATTGGTTTTCTTATCTCCATATCAGTACTGGGGTCTATCCAACATTTGTTACACCTGATTGTTCTCTGATTGCTGCTTTCAGGAATGAGCATGTGTGTTGATCTTACATTGCCTTTGTTTACATTTTATTCCATTTGTATTTGTTTGTACTTCATTTGTTTTTGTTTGTAATGACTTGTGCAACTTATGTCACATTTCTTTGGTTACTTTTTTTGCTGACAGAAGGTAAATGAAATAGGGGCTCTAGAAATAAATAAAATGGAAAGAAATAGGGCTGACAAAAATAAATGCCTTCCTTGTACAAGTCATTTTAGCCTTAAGCATTTAAAATCTTTTCATTAAATAAGCACTTAAGATTTCTTTTTTTTTCTTGTTTTCCTAAAAGTATTCAAGAAGATGTTCATTTTTTCAGACTAGTGCAAGATATGAATTCTCTGAACAAGAATCTTCGGAGCAGGGAGTACCTCTGATAGATTTAGTGTCCTTTGTAAGTGGAGTATATTATGATTTTTAAGTATGGGTATTGTTAGACAACACTTACCTACATGTATTCCCAGAATGGTACCATATAAGATTATGAACATGTGTCTTGTCAAGTTTTCAGTACCTTTGTGGTAGGGGAAAGAACTCTAAAACATACTTGTGCTTTTAGAAAGGAAAAAGTAAATGCAATAGGCCTAATTTGAAGTTCAAATTATATAATTTTGAAGTAACATATATGTGGTTCAATTTGATTTCCTGATAGAGAAGCTTTTTTACATTTGGATAACAGGGCATCAGTAGAATGAAGTTTGCCAATGATGTCGTGGGAGCTCTTATACAGGAACTACAACATCTTGCTAACAATGATAAGTAAGTTTTAAAGTACTTTTCTTATATACTTCAAATGCTACAAATAGTAAACGGGGCAAAATACAGACCCAAGTTGGGATCAGATGCCTTTAAGGATTTGTCTGCACCAACAAAGGATGAATTCAAAGTAGAAAAGAGCTGAGTGGATAGCAAAGATGATCCTGTAAAAGTGGAAACTTTGATGAGGAGGAAATGTTGACGAAATTGACGAATTTATTATAATCGTCAAAGTTTCCACTCGTCAACATTCACATCACTGTTAATGAAATACTAGTAGATCATCAAAGTTTCCACTCCCCGTTTTTCTAATATACCGAAATTGTCAAACTTTCAACCCTTCAATATAACCACTTTTACAGTGTATAGTTGATCAGTACACTTTTAAATCTGCCTCAGTAAAATTGTGGTAGTCAGACAGGTTCATTCATCATATGCCAGACCAGATAGCATGGTTGGTAGAGCTGGAACTTCATATCATGATCTGATTTTTTTTATTAGCTCACCTGAGCCATAGGCTCAATGGAAAGGGTGAAGATAATGAATAGTGATGTTTTTCTTAAATACTTCAAATGCTCCAAATAGTAAACAGGGCAAAATACAGACCCAAGTTGGGATCAGATGCCTTTAAGGAGTAAGTATCATCTGTCGATGAGTTACACCTTCTATGAACAATGTGTATTGCTCAGGTAAATGGAGTAATCCATAGTCAAAATTAGTACAAACAATTGGTATGAAACATGTCAGTCAAAATATGCTCCAAATTAAAAGGTTGTATTTGCTAACAAGGTTATTAACAATGACCATAGGATTCACAAAATGCTGAGTTTAAATGAGATTGTTGAAAGTCCTTTAACACCAATTTATTTGTCACAGGGTTCTCCATGAGCTGTTTTACTGTGTTGGTCCCGACACAGTAAAATTTTCCCTGACACAGTAACGATTCAAATTTTGTGCGTGCGACACAGTAAAAATTTTGCGACACAGTAAGATCTGTGATAATCAGAAAATCGGAACATAAATTCTTTTAACTGAAACTCTAGTCAAACAAATCTACCGTCTTTCAATTTTTAAGGCAGAGCACTTAATTATCTCCTAATTATGGCACTTTGTCTTGCTTCACCTTGCATAATCAATTATCTCCTTAGACCCACGCTGGACTTGACGCATGAAGGAACAAAGACAAATTATTTGTTTTCACACTTCCATGTAACCATATAATTGCTAGTTGCATTTTTAAATGTTATTTCAAAATTTATTATATATAAATATATGTCTTTATACTTCAGAACCTCGTCTCTAGAATCATGTTCGTACTGTGAGTAAAACATTGTACCATAATCATTTCATTGATGTAGATGTATTGTTGAAGAATTTAAAGGCACCCCCTAAAAGTATTTTACTATTAATATATAAGTTTCTTTTTTTAAATTCTGTAATTTTATCAACTGAAGAAAAAAAATCACGACAAATTTAATGTAGATTGATTGTATTGACCAGAATTTCCTCTGCTCTTCAGAGCATGTGTAAAACACGAAGTTATATACACAAAAATATCAAGGTTTAATATATACGTACAACTTTTAGATGGTGATACAAGTATAATATTATATAAGTTGTTTTTTTTTAAATCATACTTATTTTTTAAAGTTGTGGGGGGATTTACAGTTGGTTTGTCTTGTACATGTAGTAAGATTGTATGTACATTATCATCTGGATAAATTCTAATTGTTTTAAATATCCATTAATTCATTTTTTTTATCAATAGGCACGGCCATGCCATTTGTGTATCGAATAAGTGATTAAAAAAATTGTGTGTATATGCTTTTGTAATTATAATGAATAGTGGTTCAGTTGCGAATTTGATCTCGAAAATGCCACGAATAAAGTCTGCAACACAGTAAAATTCCAAATGATAGAGAGCCCTGTTGTCATTAACCTGCCTCAGTTTAAAAATTGATTGTAATCAGAACATGCCTTTACGAAATCAGTTGGAAGACATAATCATTATATGCAGGTGATTGTGGGATATAGGGGAAGTAAAAAAGCAGAAGTCATTGTTTTCTGATCAAAACTTTGCCTGTTGTCTGTCTTTGCCATAGTCATTCTCTTTGTCATTGTCGTTGTCACAGACGTTTTTACAATTTCACCTTCTCCTCCAGAACCACAGGGCCAGCTTCAACTAAACTTGCCACAAAGTATCCTTGGGTAAAGAAGATTTGAATTTGTTCAAATGAAGGGTCACGTCTTCTTCCAAGGGGAGATAATTACAAATTAGTAAATGAATTATAGCATCTTTTAAAAATCTTCTCCTCAAGAACCACTGGGCCAGGAAAGATGAAACCTAGTTGGAAGCATCCTCAGGTAGGTGTAGATTCAAGTTTGTTCAGATCATGACCCCCAGGGTAGGGTGGGGCCAAAATGAGCAATCAAAGTTTTACAGAGGAATACATAGGAAAAATCTTTAAAAATCTTCTCAAGAACAACAAAGCCATGCTTGGAGATATATATATGGAAGCATCCTCAGGTAGTGTAGATTCGAGTTTTTTCAAATCATGACCCCCCAGGGGTAGGGTGGGGCCAAAATGGCAATCAAAGTTTTATATAGGAATACATAGGAAAATCTTTAAAAATCTTCTCAAGAACAACAAAGCCATACTTGGATATATATATATGGAAGCATCCTCAGGTAGTGTAGATTAATTTTGTTCAAATCATGACCCTGGGAGGTAGGGTTTGGGCCACAATGAGTGATCAAAGTTTTACATGGTAACATATAAGAAATATCTTTAACTTGAAATATGTCAATAGGACATGAATGCCCCGTCGAGGGTATATTAGTAATGCAACATGAAAATTTGTATCAGTGTGTGAAATTTGATGAGGAGATCTTAAGGTATGACCCTCTTGAAATTTGTTATATCAAGGATTTTTTGAGAAGTTTATTTTGGATAAGTACTCATATAGCATGACTGAAAATCGCAGAGAAAATGGGGGGTCATTGTGCATCTAACTGAGCTACGGTACAATTAAGTTGACCTTTTTGCACTTAAATTGTAACTCTTTGGTTAATCACTTTAACCGTTATCATATTTTATAAGATGTAACCATGGCAATAAACATAATCTTATTTTATGTAAAATAGTTTGAATAATATTTATCATTCAACAAATCATGCAAATGTAATGCACGTAAATTATTGTGTGACCTTTTTGCACTAAAAAAGTCTCATATTTGGGGTATTAAAAATCTAAATAGGCAATAGAATATTTTCTTGTATCAAACTTTTTACGACTTAAGTGCTGATCGGTCAATAGTATCGAGTAGTTTAAAATAATGAAAGAAAAAGTTGGGGTCAGTGATGTAAATTTTGAAATATTGGTCAAAATATGCGATTTTCAGGCAAAAAACTGTGTAAATTTTATCTCCACTTCCTTGATATTTCTTCATTTCTTGGCAATGTTTGTTGAGCGACGGTGTAAATTTTGTTATAAAAATATAAAATTGAGACCTATATTTAATATTCCAGGCATATCATAACGGAAAATATCCTCTGAGTAAAAGTATGTGAGGCTAAAGTTCCAAGATATTAAATTTAATAAATGTGTAGATTTGCAGAATTTTCTGCAAATATCCTTCCGCCACAAGAAATAGTCCCTAATAAATCTTGCTTCTTTGTGAATTTTTGAGCAGTTTTTTAATTGAATGTTGAACATTTTACATTGTTTAATTTAAATATGTTATAAAGTTTGAATTGTAATAAATAGTTTTTAAGTAAGAAGTTCTGACTGAAATTTTCTAAAAGGCTGACGAGTGACATACCTTAAATAGTTTCTATAGAGTTGATTGAAATTGAAATCTGAAAAGTTGGATATAAATGATAAATTCTCACCAAATTATGTATATGTGCATAAGCTTGCATAAAAATATCTTAAATGATTACTTTAAAACTAAGCAAAATACAAATTTTGAAAAAGTGAGGTCAAGGTCACAGGAAAGTTCAAGGTCAAAAGTTTTTGATGTAGTTGAATAGCTCTCTCTAATACATATCAGCATATGAAGTTTGATAAAAATATTTTGAATGGTTTATTTAAAACTAAGCTAAAAACTAATTTAAGAAAACTGAAGTCAAAGGAAAGGTCAATGTCAAAAATGTTGATGCAGTTGAAAAGCTTACATCAGTATGTATAAGCATATGAAGTTTGATAAAAATAAATGGTTTCTTTAAAACTGAACTAATCACAAATTAAGAATTTCATGGCCCCTCGGTCAGGGGTTCTTGTTTTAGGGCAGGCTCTATTGATTATATGAATAGTGAAAATGCATTTAGTTCTTTGAAAATCTTCTTCTCTGCTCCTGGGTATTAAGCAAACTAACTAAGTACATAGTAATGATGAGCAAGGGTGCCTTTTCCAAAATTGTGAATTTCATGGCCCCTGGGTCAGGGGTTCTAGCCTCAGGATCATGAAACAGACGTAGACTTACATCAAATTTTCAATCACCTGAAAAAAGTTTATTTATTATTGTATAAATCTCTAAATCTGCAGATAACAACATTTATGATAAGCAATATTGAAAAATATTTTAATTTTTGTCTGCTTGACTTCATCAACATTTTAGTACAACATAAAGATTTTGACTTAAGCTTAAGATGTTTCATGATCAGAGGGCCTGGTGTTAGGGTCGGGCTCTATTAATTATATACATGTAATGAAAATACCGTAATTCTTTGAAAATCTGCTCCTAGGTATTATTAACACAAACTAAGTGCATGGTTATGATAAGCAAGAATGCCTCTTCCAAAATTGATTCATGCCCATTGGTCGGGGGCTCTGGTGAAAGGGGAAAGGGGGGCTCTATTGATTATATAGTGAAAATGCACTACCATAATGTCTTTGAAAATATTCTTTTCAGCTCCTGGTATAAAGCAAATAAACTTAGTGTATAGTTATGACGAGTGCTTATTCCAAAATTTCAAGTTTCATGGCCCCTGGGTAAGATTTTCTGGTGTAAGGTCAGGGCTCTATTTATAATATAGTGAAAATGCATTAATTCTATTAAATAATCATGTCTGCTCCTTAGTGTTGAGCAGATAAACAAAGTGCATAGTTATGACAAGCAAGGGTGCTTCTTACAAAATTTTTAAACTTGTGGTCTCAGGGTCAGGGGTTCTGGTGTTTCTCGGGGTGGGATGGCTCTATTGATTATATAGTGAAAATGTGTTAATTCTTTGAAATCTTTAACTAAGTGCATAGTTATGATGATGAGGTTACCTTTTCCAAATTTGTGAATTGTGAAAATTTTCTATGGTCCTGGGCATATTGGAGGCAAACAGAGTAAAAGATTTAATAAGCAAGGGTATTTTTACCAGATTTTTCAACAACTGGACCATTTGGTCAAGTGTACGGGTCCTGACCAAGGCTCTATTAATTTGTATTCTGAGAGAAGTTATTCCCCTTTGCCTTTCACTTTTGATAATTAATCACAAACTGTAAATAATGTATTTGAAAGGTTAATAGAATAAGAGAATTACATTAGAATTTTTATTGTAGTTTTAATGATCAGGTAGACTTGTAAATAATAGAAAAATAAAAATGAGACAAAAATAACTTAATAAATGTTCTTCAAAGAGCAACAGAGGCCAGTGTGAGAGGTTATAATATGTACAGTCAAATCTCATTATCTCAAACTCAATGGGACTGCGAGATATCCAAGGAATCGAGGGTAAAATACTTAAAGAATAAGTGGTTGGGACTTCCAAATCACTTCGACATATCCATGGTATTCGAGATATCAGTGTTTGAGATGCCAGAAGTTCAACTGTAGTTAAAAATAGTACAGAAGCACTAAATAATAGTTTGTTCATAGTCTGCATGTGATAGTGATAAATGGGGGACAGATTAGAAATTAATTTATGAGTTGTGTTAATTACTGAATTCTAGACTAATTATTTCGTTGATCCTGATTATCCTATTTCTCTCGCATTTGAGCAAAAAAAGCTTCATCTATCGGTTTATTTTATACTCTATGGATCCTCTAAACTGTTGTATTATACTTAGGTGACAGTTAAGGCCCATGGGCCTCTTGTTCCAAGTTCACTTGGATAAAATGACATAAGTATTATTAATTGATGTAACACCATTGATATACAGTTGCCCCATGGGGTAGTAGGATGGGAACATGAAAGTTTTGCATGGGAATGTATGAGAAAAAATCTTTGAAAATCCTTCTCTTAAAAACAATAGGGCCATGGTTAGTTGTATTATTATGCAGGTAGATTCACATCTGCCTCAGGGAAGAGTGGGATCAAAGTTTTACATGGATACATATATATGTATATACTGGAAAAAAAATTCAAAAATCCTCTTCTCAAAACAGCGTAGCAGTATTCAATGATCCATCGTCAGAAACCCAGAGTCGGGCTTGCTTCTCTTAGGTAAGAGAAGTGAGACCGACCATGGGTTTTCGACGATGTCAATGATCCCAGAAAAAAATATAATCACAGAAAATCACTTGAGCCTTTGGCCATATATCAGCTAGTACAGCACCTGTGTAGAAGTCAAGGGACCTGGATTCAAATCCTGGCCTGAAGCATCAAATTTCGTCCATTATATAGATGTTAATCAAAAATGACACATATCTCAGATAACATTTCTAAATTAGCCTCATTAAAATGTGAATCAAAAATAGGACATCATTTGCAAATTTCTTTCAGAATAAAACTGTTGATTACTATTCGGGGTATCAATGCATTTTGGATGAAAACCGGTCAGAGTAAGGAAAAAGTTAGAAAGGTTAGTATTTTTTGCTACCTTAATATTTATGTTTTTGTAGGTGGAATCACCATGTCCATCTGTTTGAGCATCCATCTGTCTGTGGTAGTGTTGCAACGATAGTCGCCGACTATCGAAAAATCGTCGGTGAAGGCAGCATGTCGACAACAATTGATTACGCGGATATCTGAATATTTGCTGGTTAACTTTATTTAACCTTTAAATTTAAGTTCAAACTATCGATCATATAATCGATTGTATGCTACCGACAACCTGACAATGTAGTGGTTTGATTTATATGGATATTGGTCTTGGAAGCTTAGTGGTTAGAGCACCTGACTAGTAATGCAGGGAGGGGCCCAGGGTTCCATTCCTGGTCAATTCATAAATTTTCTCCTTTCTTGTTACATTTGGTTCCATTGACCACCCTTTCTTCTTTCTTGTTACATTTGGTATTGTTGACCACCCCTTGACATTTTTTGAAACAGTTCACTGATTCATTGCAATATTCATTGGGGATTAGAGCACCTGACTAGTAATGCAGGTGTCACGGGTTCAATTCCCAGTCAAGCTGTAAATTTTCTCCTTTCCAGTTACAAGCTGCTTCCACAACTTTGAAACAGAGAATCATTAGAAGTTGATAGTGATGATCAGCTTGAAACAAAAGTTGTTTTCAAAGCTGAGAGTAATTTGAACAAGATCAAATTGATGTCACTTGTTTTAGAAAATAATATAAGTCTTGCAGCAAGTTGCTTTGGCCATAACTATGGAGAAAAACATTAATGTTTACACTTGCCTTTAAGTTGGATTTTTGGGAGTCAAATTTTGATCTAAAACTCTATGACCCAGTCTTTAAAAAATTTGTATTTTTCTGGAAGATGGCTTGGCCAAGTTCAGGTGCCCATTTCCAACTAAATGATGTTATATAGATGTAACTCTTTATAGTTACATCTAATCTAAATGTCTTTTGTTGTATTGCAAAGATCAGAATGAGAGCTTTCCATTGGTATATAATAACATATATATAGTATCTGCGTCTTTGAAAAAACAACAGAATAAAGTCACAGATTCATAATTTTTGAAGCATTATGCTGTTGCACTTGATTTTTTACATTTAAAAAAATGGTGAATTAAAGTTATTTTGAATGAAACATTTAAAATAAATATACTTAATTATAGAAAAATCACTCTGGTTTAGTTTATTTTTTACAGAAAAGAAAAATGATAAAACTTGTGGAAATTATGAATAAATGTGTGCAGATATACCTTTGTTATATAATTTAAGATTTATCAATGTTGGAATATATGCATAATTTTTAGCAAAAAAGAGCAAATATAATGTGTTTAAATTTTTTTTATTTTACTTAAGAAAAAAAGTACTATGAGAAGAATATAGTGGTTATATGGTAAAATGCGTGCACATTTTGTAATTTTTTTCCCATACTGGTCAAAGTTTTTGTATAGTCCGTAGCCCCATATTTCATTATAGTTTGTGTTCAACAAAAGAATGTATAATTTATCATGCTCTTGTTTGATATTTTCACAGTTACCAGTCAAATAAAAAAAAAACAGTAATGTATAGCTTTTGTGCTAACACCAAAAGAAGTTATTAAAGAATGATTGGTGTCCATAGCCCTGTATAGTCCATAGCCCCAATATAACAACTTCCAGAAAAAGTCATATACATTATTGATACAATAACTACAATACAATAATATCTTTATTCAAACAAATGCAATGTTTTTAAATACAAATACCACTGTAATTAAAGATAAAATGTCTGAAAATTAACATTTTTCAACTAAAGGCTTACTTCTGTAGTCTAGCTAGCTGTCCTGTTATGTTTGTGGTCACAACATATTTCTAAATATACATGATAATGTTTCCCTTCTTGTGATACATATTATCATTCCATTTAAAATAATTTGCATTGTAATATTTTTAAAAGGACATTTAGCCACAAAAATCCTGCTTACAAAAGGGCTACGGACTCTACAAATAAATTTAGCAAATTTACAGACCATATAACCGTACTTCTGTATTAGCAAGATTTTTTTTTCCTGCATGCATCTACTGCAAAATTGGGCTTCAATGGTTTATTACTTTTTATCAACCAGTCTTAACATCCCATAGTGGGATTTGATCCCAAAACATAAGGATCAACTCCTTACTTTGCAATTTAGTACAAAGTGAGACCTTCACTCTTATAATTGTGTCACCCAATCTACTTATCACTGAATTGTTAATTTTAAAAAAAGCATTGATTCTTGATGGATAAATATTGTACTAATCATGTTTTGTAATTTTTTTATGAATTACACCATATGATCATGATAAATTATATACCGATACACCTTTTGAATGACCACCTTGAGCTCCATGTATTACATGAAAATAAAAAAAATATGAAGCAATATAGTCTGTAACAACAACCCCCCCCCCCCGCAAAAAAAATGCCTCGATTTAAATACAGTTCCTTTTATTCATTATAGTTTGAACACCAATAATGCATTAATTAGTTGAACTGAAATTTCATTTGGCGTTGAAAGTACACAATACATTAGACAATTGATTTTTAAATATGGTATTTTGAATACTCAATCTCAGTAGCGTGAACTTTTATAGAATGCCAAATAATAAAAAAAAAATTGCCCAAAATTTAATTATACAATTATATTTTCTTTAAGTGGATTGTTCACAATAGAGATGTTTAACTGTATAGTCCGTAGCCCCAGTGCTCACATGAAATCCAGCCTTCATAGATGCTAAATTAAAGCCCATTCTTCGTCTCCAGATGGTCTTGAACTATATTTTGTTATCAAAACACCAATTACATGTAATTCTGATATGTATTATTTTGTTCTGACAATTTATATTTTACTCGTATTGTGAATTTATTTGAAGTTTTTCATTTTATTTTGTTAAATTTCACGGGATTTTTGTATAAATGGATTTAATATCCAAATGAAAGGATTTATTAAACACGTGTGAACTCCATGATGACAATTTTAACTATTATTTACTGATACAAACAGGTATTTTTCTATGGTCTCTAATAAATGAAAAATACTATATGTATAGTCCGTAGCCCAAGGTCTCAAAATGGTCAATCAATGTTTGACACAGTTTTTCTCTGAATATTACCAAATAAGTTTGAAATTTTCATCTCCATATACAAAATCTTTACAAAAATTGAAAGTACTTTAATGTATTTTTACTTCAGATGTCCAAATAATAAGAGTAGAAAAACTCCCAAAGATTAACAAATTTACCCATGTCCTTTATATACTGTAACATTTTAATGGAAATGAGTTATGTGATTTTTCTTGCTCAGACAATGTTTTGTGAAGAGTTTGTATTTGGATTATACTTTTTTTGTTTAGTTGAATATGATAAAGATAAATGTTATGCCTGAATATGTATAGTCCATAGCCCACTTGGGTCTCTGCTATATTAAGAGTGAAATCTTTTTAACCGCTTGACAGAAATGGACAGAAATTTCAGACAATCTGCCAAAAGGATATAGTATTACATAGAACATATTTGTTATACATTTTGTTTGACTTCATTTTTTTGTTAATCTGCAACCAATACGGGCACCTGATCTTGGCCAAGCCGAAGAGTTTTATTATGGTACTTTGGAAACAACTCCAAATATAATTGTTTATAAAGGTCCGAACTTAATTTAAGGTTTTGCCAAAGGTCAACATGTCCAAAAATTTATTTTTACAATAGCTCCAAAACTGTGTGGTTTATAAAGTTAAAACTTTTACAGTTTATGAATATATCACTGATTAACAGATAGAAAGTATCACTTGATAACAAATACTTAAAAAAAATATTTGTCGAGAAAAATTCTTTTTAAAAAAATGCATATATTTTTCAAAAATACACCTAATTAAGTCCGTACTTTTAGTGAAAGCCATCATTGCAGAAACAATATATGTTTATCAATGAAAGGCAAGTTGGACTTCGATAGCCTCTGGAAAGTTGTTTTCCCTGTTTATTTTGTCCAAATGTTAAGATTTGAAACCGAAAGTACATTGCAAATGGCGGATTTTATAGGGGTCTTGTCTTTATACATGTCATGCTTTCAATAACAGCCTTTCGGAGACCATTCGCGTCCAACTTGCCCTTCATTGATAAACATACATTATTTCTGCATTGATGGTTTTCACTAAAAACACAGAAGTAAGCGGTTGCGTTTTTTTGAAAATATGCTAATTTTTTTTTTTTTTAAATTTTTCTCAAAAAATATATTTTCTTAGATATTTGTTTGCAAGTATCTGTGAATCAATGATATATTTATAAACTGTAAAAGTTTTAACTTTATACCTCACATAGTTTTGGAGCTATTGTAAAAATAAATTTTTGGACATCTTGACCTTTGACAAAACCTTAATGCAGGAAAGGAAGATTTAAGGTCACTATATGCATAAAACACACGTGCTTACCAATTCTAATGATCTTATATTTGTTTGAATTGTTAATAACAGATCAAATATCTATTTCAAACCCCAAAACATACTTTGATACACAGGTAAATCCAATGGAATATAATATCTAAAATTGGAAACAGATTATTGCAAAAAAGACATATAAGCGGGTCAATGGCAAATTCCTCCAGAATAATCTGAAAAGATATAACTGACTTAAATGCAAACCAACCTATAGGCAAGTATGTAGGGTAATAGATTTTACTTGGCACAAAGATTGCTTGTGACCAGAAGGTGTGTAACAACCCTGCACCATGCCAGGTACAGGGGTGAAGTGTAAAATTCTTGTCTATGAACTAATTTTGTAACATTATATTTGCCCAAAGGGTTGATTATAACTAAAGAATATGTCATGAACTTGAACAAAGGTCATTTAGACAAGGTCAAGGTCACCGAGTTTTGATGTGACAATTTCTGAAGGTCTCAAAAATGTGCAATAATTATTATAAGACAAAACTGTGTACATATATTTGAGAAGCATCAGGAGGTCATACTTGGACAAAGGTTGCTTTTAACCAAATAATCTGTCATGATCTCCTGTTATCATTGTTTGTTTAAGGTCAAGGTCACATGAATCGGAAGTTAACGGTTCTTTGGAGCAAGACATTTTAATGCTTGAACTTTGGATGGGCATATTTTTTACTCAACAAAGAATTGCTCATGACTATAGATGTTTTCCACCAATTACATCTCAATAAGATTTAGGCCATGGGAATTTGAAATATTATTTTTTAACAAGATGGCAGACTTGTTTTTAAAGATTTTTCTTGGCCACATGAGTCAAAGTTTGGTTTATGAGGAGGTTGTCTGCCATCCTACTCATCTTTCTGTTAACTTTTCAAATTTTTGACTTCATCAGAACCACTAGACGAGTTTCAACCCATGTTGGCACATAAAATCCTTGGGTGCAGGAGATTCAAGTTTATTCAAATGAATTTGATGGGCACTGGCATCTTAAGGACATACGCAACGTAGTTTGAACTTTATTATCTTTCCCCTGGAGTTGAAGAGTTCCAATACTTAAAGGAACTGTATGTTACATTTTATTGTCTATATATGCCATTATACACTTCTTCTAAAACAAGTTTGGATTAACAAAACATCTAGAATATATGTTTAGTAATTTTTTTGTATTTTTCTTTGAATTATACAAGAATTTTCATCAATTGATATCTTTTCAAAACCCCTGGTAATGCATGCTGATTTTTTGTCTATGAACATCTGATGGCACTATAATCTTAAATATCTTGGAAAAATTATCAGTAGGTAAGGTACGTTGCGTATGTCCTTAAAGGGGAGATAATCAAGAAAAAACATCAAGAAAAAGCATAAATAAGTTAGGGGTCTTAAAAATTCTTCTCAAGAGCCATTAAGCCATAAAGGATGACACTTTTATGAAAGCTTCCTGATATAGTGTAGATTTAAGTTTGTTCAAATCATAGCCCATGGGGGTAGGGTGGAGCCTCGAAAGGAGATCAAATTTTAAGAAGGGAAAGCATACGGAAAAAAATCTTTTAAAATCTTCTTTACAAGAGCAACCAGGTCATGATTAGTGACATTAAGATGCAAGCATCTTCAGGTAGTGAAGATTCAAGTTTGTTAAATTATTAATCGATAGTTTATACAGATCTCAGAGCTGTTGAACTGATTTTGATCATACAAAGTTTTGAGCCTTAGCATGATTAAATATCAACTTTTTCTATTTCAGATTCATGCTCAACAGTTGAGTCTCGTCAAACAGTTCTCAGATCTCTTACAATCAGATACTGTATGTTTGTGTTTTATGTTGCAATTTTATGAGAGATCATAATAAAATGTTGACAATGAAACAATCACATGTTAATTTTTTTTTTTCCTGCCCATTAGAAAAATGCAGTTGCTCTTTGCTCTGTTGAAAGCTGGTTACGTCATGTCAGTGATAGAAAACCATATCTGCCAACAGATTTGCTTGGCAAAGAGGTATTATGAACCACAATTTATAGACCAAATTCCACATTCTGAAATCTAATACAAGAAAAATTCATTCATTGAGGTGACCATGTCTTGACTTGCATTTATTTCAGGGTATTGACTTCTTAGAGCCCTTCATACCAGTTGAGGTTCCTAAATACAATGAAAAGGAAATTCAGAAAGTAATGGATTATTATGAAGAAAGAAGGTGGATTCAGCTTCCAGAAGGTATGAATATATATGAAAGACCATGCCGTCTTGGATTTATATCTAACATGTATTTAATCTACCATAATGATTTAACTTTCTTTGTTCAGGATATTCTAACAGCAAGAGTTTAAACCAGAAATGTAAAGTTGAATTATATAAGTAAATATATATGTATTAATTGCAGTTCTTTTTTTTTCAGCGAAAACGCCGAGTGGAAGAAAGCAAATAACATTTCTTAGTGGATACAACCCTTATAAACTGTACAAAGTGTGTGTGCCATTGTAGATCAGATATGACAAACATTCAATTTATTGTACGTGTATAGAATCTGTATTGATTTTAAAATGAGCTGAATGAGAAAATAAGCTAAGGGAAACCTACAAAATAATTTTATTTTTAATTTTAAATACAGAAAACTGCTTTATCTTCTAGTGAGTTCAAGTCAACTAAATTAATTTGAACATGTGTCAAAGATATAAAAGTAAAATAAGCCTGATGTTGCCCTTTAATATAATTGTGTTGATGACAACTGTCACTGCTCAGGGAGATGACTCTTTTGAGGGAGGGAGCACCAGCTTTTGGATTTCCATCGACTATGGACCCTCTCCTCCACAGTGTCCCAGGATTCCACAAAAAATGCTGATCGGCAACTGTTGTCTGATGAAGTAATCAGATTATCTGATATGTGTTTTGTCTCTGATGATTTTACAAAAAATATCATCTTGTTCAAACAAATTTGGCTTTCTATCACATTCCTTGGGAGGTGATGTAAGGGTACTTTTCAGTGTTGATTTATGTACCATTTTTCCATAGTCTGGTAAATTCTCCTTAATTTTAGACTCTGGATGCTAAAAATATAATGGAAATTGAGATAAAGTTATAAAAGAAGAACACTTTATTCAAGTGTTCAATCAATATATGTATTATCATACTGTAGTGTTTTTAGTTAATGTATTTCAATTTTGAAATTGTAAATATTTTGAAACTGAAAATATTTTGGCATAAAACATTACTTTCAACAGATAGCTAAATGAAATTTATAATTCATTTTAGCATAATTAACATTGTTTCTGATTTTTATGTAGTTGAATGGTATCATTCATGCAAAATTGTGTATCTCAAGTCCTCACGTTTTTATATTTTTTTTTATTATTTATTATTATTATTTTTTTTTTTTTGGTGACAGCAAATGGATTTACTCCATACTAAACTAAAGATTTATGGGCATGAGGAAGGAAAATACTGAATGTATGTTTTTACCTTATGGAAAGCAGGAACACCACTCACAGCAACACTATAAGTAGAATATTAAATATATTTTTTTAAACTACACCATACTTTATAGCTATACAAATCTACTTGGTTTATACCATCTTCATTTTGATCAAGTTATTAAGTAGTATGAACCAGAAGTCTCTGACAAGACTGTTGCTCTACTTGTTTGAACTTATAACAAAGGAAAAGGTTGCACTTGGACTTGAAACTTTGCAACAGCAATAAATAGAATATTGATCCTTGGTTTAGTCTCTTTTTGTGTCAAGATTTATTACAATCAGAATAAAACTGTAGGAGGACTAGCCTTTTAAAAGAGTTTTACAAATTTTTCTATTTTAGTAACCATGGCAGCATCATTCATCAAAATTAAAAAAAAAGGATAAAAATAATTATGCATCACAGTGTTATTGAGCGTCAAGTTATATTGAAATCAGACCAAAACTGTTGGAGAAGTAAGGTTTTGATAGTATTTCACAGAAATTTCTAATTTTTATTAACCATAGCAACACCATTCATTGAAATCAAAAACTGATACACAGAATTATGCATCTTAGAGTTGTCTGCTTGTGTGCCAAGTTATATTGAAATCAGACCAAAACTGTAGGAGGAGTAGCTTTTGAAAATATTTCACAGAAATGTCTATCTTTAGTAACCTTGGCAACACTGTTCATTGAAATTAAAAACCGATACACAGAATTATGTATCTTAGTGTAGTCTATTTGTGTGCCAAGTTATATTGAAATCAGACCAAAAATGTAGGAAGAGTAGCATTTTGAAAAATTGTTTACAGACACGAGCGGACGACGGACACCTTACTATCGCATAAGCTCTTCTAGTCTATGACCAGTAGAGCTAAAAACAGAGTTATGGAATTGGACAGCATGTCCAATAACAGTGTTCATATTGGCTGTGATGGCTAAGGTCAGTTGTATAGCAGGAAGAAAATTTTCACAAGCAGAGCAAAGAGGATGTTTTCTGCTGGTAGAAAAAGAAGCCTTAGCTGTAGCCCCACCCTGGCCTCTGGACCAACACTTGGAGAAAACTGAATTCCACTGTATGAAGACACTGTTTATTAATACATGTACATATATAGATGATGTTTTTCAAAACATGTTTTGGGAATTTTCACCTCGGAAAAACAGAGTGGAGGAGAGAGGCCACCTTACAAGATTTCTGTTTTTTAACCTACAACCATTTTTGGCAGCATTATTAAAGAATGGACCAGACATCACTGTCCTAGAAAAATGCATTGGAATTTACGTTAAGTAAATATTTTCTTACAAAATGTTGGATAATATTTTTTTATCATAAAAGACACTTTGACAGAAATTTCATTACCATAAACATTGAAGATGTTTATACCAATCTGCTTTTACAGTCTCTGTGATCTGTCATACAACCTTAAATAATGTACCTGCATGGTTTGTTTTGGACAAATTTTCGCATCATTGGATCTTGTTTGTTTGACCAAAAGAGAATTGGAATAAATCTGACAAAGTTGGAAGGGGGGGGGGTTATAGGAATCACCCCTCAAGTATGACACGAAAATTACTAATTAACCCTTCGATTCCTATGACCCTGATCTTACTCAAAAGACCTTGAATCAATGAGGCATGATCTTGGATTAGAAAATAATCTTTAGAACTGGATATTTATATTGCTAATTCCTGTGACCATAATCTTGCCCAAATAAGATTCAACCACTTCTTCTTATGTGTCTCCCGAACATGTTATGAGTTTTAACGGAAACATATATATGGTTTTATAAGTCTCTGGTATTAGCAAAGTTGAGGTAAAAAGACCAACAAATAGGATGAGATAAGGTGTTTACATTTACTTAATAATCTCATATTGCAAATGGTCCTTGCCCTTTACCAGTATTGAAGAAAATTTAATTGCTTTTATTCTAGTTCAATTTAAATTGGCTATATTTCCGTAGAAGAAAACGAGAATGTAAAAAATATACAGCAGAGAGACTATATATTCATGATAAACAGATCGATAGACACACACAAACTTTAATAAGAGAAGCTCACATGACCTTTGACTATGATTGAATGAGCTAAAATTTAGCAAAGAGAAGATTTCACAGAAGATCAGACCGCCGGTAAGAAGATAGGGTGGAACTGAAATAACTCAAAATTAGGATTCAAAGTTTTACGTGAGAATATTAAGGAAATTAGGAAAAGAAAATTCAAGAATAGAAGGGCATATTAATGATTCCCAAACATGCAAACATTCCCAAAATTTTAAAAATTCCACATTGTGGACCTGAAGCTAAAATGTAGATTGGTGGATAGACATATTCTAAAATGTAGGTTCCCGAATGGCAAAAACATATCAGCTTATTATTTTTCTTACAAAGATCATTGATTATTGACATTATAATGATATTATTCTTTTTTCCTAGTGTATTTAATAAGAAATGAGTTAAAACAGATTTCATGGGTGTTTAGTACGGCCTTAAGTTTGGTGAATTTTAAAGATAACAAGATGTGTTTGTGAAACACTGATGCCCCCGTATGGCAGCTTATGGCGAAGGTTAAAGTTTCTCAAATGCAAGTCAAAATCGAGGCCAAAAGATAAAAAATGTTAAATTTGAAAGCCCTAGCTGCAACTGTTCAAAAGTTATGGCGAAGGTTAAAGTTTTTTAAAAGTAAGTAAAACATCAAGGTCAAGGTCAAAGTTGTTGGTATCCAAAGGAAGGTCTTGTCACAAGGATTACATATGTAAAGTATGAAAACCAGCACCAACCATTCAAAAGTTATGGCCAAGGTTAAAGTTTTTCGACAGTAGGTCAAATTCCTAAGTCAAGGTCAAAGGGTCAAAGTGGTTGGTATCCAAAGGAAGGTGATGTCACAAGGATTACATATGTGAAGTATGAAAGCCCTAGCATCAACTATTCAAAAGTTAAGGCCAAAGTTAAAGTTTTTCAAAAGTAGGTCAAACTCCTATGTCAAGGTCAAAAGGTCAAAGTTGTTGGTATCCAAAGAAAGGTCTTGTCACAAGGATTACATATGTGAAGTTTGAAAGCCCTAGCTCTAACCGTTCAAACGTTATGGCCAAGGTTAAAGTTTTTCAAAAGTAGGTCAAATTCCAAGGTTCAAAGTCAAAGGGTCAAAGAGGTTGATATCCAGAGGAAGGTCTTGTCACAAGGCATACACATGTGAAGATTGAAACCCCAAGCACCAACTGTTCAGAAGTTATGGCCAAGGTTAAAGTTTTTCAAAAGTAGGTCAAACTCCAAGGTCACGGTCAAAAGGTCAAAGTTGTTGGTATCCAAAGGAAGGCCTTGTCACAAAGAATACACATGTGAAGTTTGAAACCCCAAGCACCAACTGTTCAGAAGTTATGGCCAAGTCTCATAAAATTTTGCAAAAGTGGGTCAAACTCCAAGCCAAACCTTGCCAATAACTTTTGATTGGTTGGACCTATGACTTTCATATTTCACATGTGTATTCCTTGTGACAAGACCTTTCTTTGGGTACCATCATATTTGACCTTTTGACCTTGGAGTTTGACCCACTTTTGCAAAGTTTTATGAGACTTTAACCTTGGCCATAACTTCTGAACAGTTGGTGCTTGGGGTATCAAACTTCACATGTGTATTCTTTGTGACAAGATCTTCCTCTGGATATCAACCTCTTTGACCCTTTGACCTTGACCTTGGAGTTTGACCTACTTTTGAAAAACTTTAACCTTGGCCATAACTTTTGAACGGTTAGAGCTAGGGCTTTCATACTTCACATATGTAATCCTTGTGACAAGACCTTACCTTGGATACCACTTTGTCCCTTTGACCTTGACATAGGAGTTTGACCTACTTTTGAAAAACTTTAACCTTGGCCATAACTTTTGAATGTTTGATGCTAGGGCTTTCAAACTTCACATATATAATACTTGTGACATCACCTTCCTTCGGATACCAACCACTTTGACCCTTTGACCTTGACATAGGAGTTTGACCTACTTTCGAAAAACTTTAACCTTGGCCATGATTTTTGAATGGTTGGTGCTAGAGCTTTCCTACTTCACATATGTAATCCTTGTGACAAGACCTTCCTTTGGTTACCAACCACTTTGACCCTTTGACCTTGACATAAGAGTTTGACCTACTTTTGAAAAACTTTAACCTTGGCCATAACTTTT